CCCACTGGATCTGTGCATGTTTCTGCTGCAACATAAGGCTTATTATTTGATTTTTGTTGGTGTTTGGTCTAGTTTCCTTTATACTGTGTATCAGTCAGGATGGGCTGCAGTAATAAGCAACTTCAAAAACCTCAGTGACTTAAGGCAACAGAGCTCATTTCTTGTCCACATGGGGCGTCAGCTATTATTCTTTTTATTTGTGGTGCTGAGAATCAAACCCAGGGTCTCAAGCATGCTAGACAAGAATTCTACCACTAAGATACACCTCTAGCTTCTTGTTCTTCCCTTTGGCTACAGGTAAATAGAGAATTCATCATCCAGAATGTTGCCAGTTTCCAGGCCACAGAGGAAATAGCAAAACAAAGCACATAACTTTTTCCTAAAACTTTCCCCTTGAGGTAACATACTTGCTCACATTTCACTGGTTATACTTAACTTCAGGTAGATAGGGATAACAGTGTGTCCAGAAAGAGAGCAAGCCCAGAGTACTGGTGAATAGCTTAGTAACCACAACAGATTATTCACTTCTTGAGTCCAGAGATGAAATAAATTTAGCAAATACCATACAACCTTTGGGAAAGTAATTTTTTGTGTGTACTTACTACAAGCACTATTTGTTAATCATTCTTTCAGTGTCAGTAGATTTAGTTGTCTGTCTCTGAAGATAGATTTTCAAGTATGGACTATTCTAACCACCTGGTACAGATACTTTCAAGGTAATTTATACAAAATGGGTAGTTGAAATATATAGTCTAAAGTCTTTTAATTCTGAAGCCTCTCTATTTTACTTTTATTAGCATGAAAAAGAATAAATTAGTGTTGGGGCCGGGGATTTAGCTCAGTGGTTTCACCGCCTGCTGTTCAAGCACAAGGACCCGAGTTCGATCTCTGGTACCAAAAAAAAAGAAAAGAATAAATTAGTATTCATTTTAGAGGTGATAACATCAGACTGGAGTAGGCTCTTTCTGATGGTACCTTGACAGAAACAAGAATTAGGGGAAAAATAGTAGAGAGTGCTAGCCCTGAGCCTTCAGCAGAGTGATGATTACTAAATGCAGAAGGTAAAGTATCCAGAGGGCAAAACTAGGCCAGCTATGAGGTTGACTTGCTTTACATTTGAGAATTTGGGATTGGAAATAGACTCAAACTCTTTGCAACTCTTTTCTTTATTTTCTATAGAACTCTGACTCCTCTAAGCAGCGTATCTGCTACACTGCCAAGGTCCTGCCTACACACATTCCTGAAGAGGGATGGTTTCCTCTGTGTGTGTGTGTGTGTGTGTGTGTGTGTGTATTTTAAGGTACTGGGGATTGAACCCAGAGCCTTTGCACTGAGCTATATCCCCAGCTGTCTTAATTTAATTTAATGTTATATTTTATTTTATTTATTTTCAGACAGGCTCTCACCAAGTCACTTAGTGCCCAGGTGATGTCAAACTTGTTACCATTCTGCTTTAGCCTCCCAGAGTGCTGGAATTACTGGCATGCACCACCATCCCAGGTTCTATGTGTTCTTTTTGTTGTATAACCCTACTGACTAATCTTGGTCCAATCACTCAGCCCCATTGTTAGAGTTCTCTATTCAAGCATGAGTAAGTAATATAGCCTCTCCTCTGACGGTGTAAAAATATTACAAATATTATGGATGCACCCTAAGACAATAATATTAAGTGAAAAAATCAGACACACAAGCTCAGATATCACATGGTTTCTCTTATATGAGAAACACAAAATATAAATAAAGAGCAAAATAAAACTAGATAATAGGAACTAGGGAGACAGCTCTTCTATAAATAGGAAGGGGAGCAGGAGATGGAGGGAGGGCCAAAGGTAGGAAGGGAAGGGGTAAAAAGCATTAGGCTATGGCATATACATGTGCCGGCCCCATGAGGAATATGATCATTATGTACTAGCAACATGTACTAATAAAAAATAAATTTTCAAATAAAATTATAAATATTAAGGAACATAATATCCCGAGAGCCTAAAAAAAGTAAAGAAAAATGACACTGGAATAATTCAGCTTGTAAAACCTTTAAGCCCTCCATAAGAAGGAAATACAGAAATAATTAAAAGGAATGCATTTATTGTTTAGTAGACATTTAGGGGGTATGCGGCCTACAAGAGAACATAGAATTTAGAGTCAGAAGAATACCTGGCTCTGTCATGTATCTGCTGCGTGACTAGTCGTATCATCTCTCCTTTGTTGCTTAGTATCTCCTCAGTGCTAAACAGGGGAAGGGGCAGTAATAACAAATTCATGAAGTTGTGGATCAAGAGCAGCATGGAAGTGCTTTGCAGGTTATGATTCACTTTCAGTAATGTAATTAAAGTGAATTTAGTTTTCTGGTTGGTCATGGAAGTTTCCCAGAAAGCCAGTTGATTTATTTATGGTTCACTTGGACAACTTGGGTGACTGCTTTTGGTTGTCAGAGTCAATGTTAATGTGTTTTAAGGAGAAAAAAAGAAGCATTTAAAATAAAACATGTTTTAAAAATATAAATTTAAGCTTCATTTATGATACAAGCTTTCTTCTGTAAGTCTGAGATTTTTATTTTTTATGAAAATGTGAAAAATGCATAGAAGTAGAATGAATTAACTATATGAATCCAAATCCAACTTGAATAATTCTAAATTCATGGTCATATTTGTTTCACTTATTTCCATCCATTTTTCCACCAGAAAATAATTTTTGTTGAGTTTTTCCCCCCTCTAGTAATTCTATGTGAAAAATTATTATACCCATAAAGCACTTCAGTATGTCTCACTGACCAATTAGACCTTTTGTTTGTAACATAACCAAAACACTTAATCCCACATAGCGATATTAACAGTAACTTCTTAATGTCATTTAATGCCCAGTTGTGGTAGATGGGCTCCAAAACATGGCCACCATCAATCCCGTACCTCCCTGTATAGGACTTTAGCCCCTCTCATGAAGAAATGGAGTCTAACCTCTTCTTAAATCAGAACTGGGATTGTAATTTATGTTGTAATTTGTAACTTGTTCTGACAAAAAGTCAGAAGTAACACTGCCAGTTCCCAGCCAGTCTTTAAAAAGATTGGCAGCTTTTGCTGCTTCTCTAGGATGTCATTCATTGAGTAAAAAGTCTGATTATTCTTGACCACCACGCTGTGAGAAACCCCAATTTTCCATATAAAAAGAGAGTGAATCTGAGCTTGTGTGGTGTAGTACACACCTGTAATCCCAACACTTGGGAGGCTGAGGCAGGCTGAGGAAGGATCACAAGATCAAGGCCAGCCTGGGCTGCGTATGAAGTTCAGAGATAGCCTGGACCATATAATAAGACCTTGTCTTTAAAAACAAGCAAACAAACAAAATATCCTGATACAGGCCCAGTCTATCTCAACCATTTCAGCTGAGTTGTCCGACATGTAAGTGAAAGAAGCTACCTTGAACATTCTAGCTCCAGGAGGTACCACAAAGAACAGAAGAATTTCCTGTCTGAGACAAGATACACATTGTTCTTCTTTAAAACACTAAATTTCATCGCTTCTCAGCCTTTTGGCTAAGATCAAGTGTAAAACACTAAACTTTGAGTATCTTTTTTTAAAAACAAAAACAAAAATGGCAGGGGGCTGAAATACCAGTGTATGTTCATTTTTTCCCTGATTGCCCCCCAAATGGCTTTTTTGCTGTTGATTTGTTAGCGTTGGGATGCAAATAAGGCATGGCCTATGTTTTCAAATGAAACTTTTATTTATATCACACATAGCATTTGCTCTTACATCCTCAGCACAATTTTATACCCTTGTTAAATTTGCCTTTTATTTTTTGTTTTGTTTTGTTTGGGTTTTAAGACAAGGTCTTGCTATATAGTTCAGTCTGGCCTCCCAGAGTGCTGGAATTACTGGCATACACTACCATGCCAGGTTCTATGTGTTCTTTTTGTTGTATATTCCTACTGGTAATCTTGGTCCAATCACTCAACCCTATTGTTAGAGTTCTCTATTCAAGCATGAGTAAGTAATGAACTCACCATGTGGCTCAGGTTGGCCTTGAATTTACAGTGATCCTCCTGCCTCAGCCTCCTAAGTGCTGGGATTATAGACATGCACCGTCATGCCCAGTTTTGTTTGCTATTTTTTTTTTTTTGGTACCGGGGATCGAACTCGGATCCTCCCACTTGCAAGGCAAGCGGCGGAACCACTGAGCTAAATCCCCGGCCCCTTGTTTGCTATTTTTAATCTACCAAATTTAACAATATTATCTTGAATAGATCATGAAATCCAGGAGTTAAAAATTTTATTTATCTGTTAGTTAACCAGATGGGCTAGTAAAAATTTAACACTTTGTTAAATTCTTGAATTTTTTCACATTAGTATGAGAAATTTTGTCCTTTTTCTCAGTATTATTAATTAAGAGACCAAGGATAGGCCAAACTGATGTGGAACCTTGGAATTGTGATCTGAGTTACAAATGTTACCTAAGCTATTGGAGATGTTAACAGTCAGGTGGTAAGATGGGCTGCTTTTAACTCTTCTAGGCTGTCAGTGAGCTGCCTAAAGGTAAAGACTCTTTTGTATTAGTATTTACCAATATACAGAGGCCTAGTTTACAAGTTAGTGGGACTGGAATGAAATACATTTGAATCAAAGACTGAAAATCAGTGAAGCATAGATTTTCCTGACTGGTCTGTGAAATGTGAATATAGACTTTACTCCTTTGTTTTCAAGTTCTGGTCCCACCTCCTTTGTAAAATGTCAGTAAAATATTTTTTTTCTCTAAACGTGAGATGTAATGATTGAAAGAACTAAAATAGAACTGAATATAAAATTTCATGGCAATAAGAAATATAAGAGCAATTACATACTTAAGAGATTGCTGTCATAGTTTTTATTAAATATTGTTCAAGATACAATCTAAAGTTGTTTTATCATTACTTGCATTTCAATGATTTCTAACCTTTGATATGTGATAGTAATGAAAAATCTTTCATTATCTCAGATGTGACCAGAATTTCATCTTTTCTTTTTCAGTTGAGGAAACTGTGAGTAAGCACATTGGAAATTCTCAAGCTTCATTGTTTGTCTCCATTTGGATTTGACTGTTAGCTTATAATTAGGTCAGTTACCCTTTTTATCACATTATTGTCATTGGGGAATTGAGGGCTAAATTAATCCAATATCTGTTGTCAATGGTGGTAGTGGTTGATGTTTGTTCAGTCTGAGTGGCCATGTTAGGCTCCCAACATAAAAAGGCACTCAGTGATGCAAATGTTATGTCATTTCAGTTGAGGCCATTGGTTATTTCTTCTTGTTCTCTAGTGACATTTATTTTCCTAAGAAGCAAATGGCAAAATTTCTTTTTTCAATGTGCTTTGTACAAATTGGTATGTTTTCTAATAAAAGTAGATAATTTTTATCTGGATGTTACTGTATTCACCTTAGCTCTTTGTGTAGATGTATTGAATTTAGTTTAGGTGTTGAAATGAATATGCTAAATACAGTAGAGAATGAATATTTACTGTATTTTTGAAGACCTAATTGCTTGATTGAGAAGGAAACTTCTCTAAGGAAGAGTTAGATTATGTGCTTCATACTGATTTACAGGAAAAAATACAAGGAGCAGTAAATCAGAGCAAGTCACACTTCAGAAGTCTTTTGAAATAGACCCATTGATTTTGTGGGGAGTTTATGGCAGTAGTTTACAGTGCCAGTCACTGCCACTGTGACTTGACTCATGCCAGCAAGTCTTGGAGATACTCATTCTATAACTCAGACCCCAGCCTGAATTCTAAAATAGTTGCCATGATTTCATAGGAGAACCTGCTGATTTTTACCACATCTGGCATAAGCACAACTTTTTGACATTTCTGGTGACCAACTGAATGAAGGTTTACTAATTTTTTCAGATAAATAGTATAAATTCACAAAAATTCTATTTTTAGGATGTTTGTAACTACAGCTATTTTTCAGTGTAAAATTTTCACGTTTTGTAGGCATTCTCCCTCAGTCAAATTGTGCCTTCATGGATTTCAGGGTATCAGGGGCCTTTGACCAAGGAATGATCAAATTCATACTTGTATTAAAGTTGATATATGAAAACAGTGAGGGTTCAGATTTCCTCTACTGGCCTAGTATAGGCAAATTTATTGCATGTATGCATGTGTGCATGCCAATCTGTCTTTGTCTGTCTGTGGGACTCTCTTTCTCTCTCTGCTGGAGATTGAACCCAGGGAGTGCTGAGCTGTATTCCCAGCCTTTTTCTGTTTTGAGACAGGCTCTCCCTAAGTTGCTTAGGCTGGCCTCAAACTTAAGATTCTCCCACTTGAGCCTCTCAAGCAGCTGGATTATAGGCATGCATCACTTTACCCAGTATGGCATTTATTGTTGTAGTACTTCAATAAGATAAGGTTGTCAAATAGATGATAAGGTACTGATACCAATTAGGGTCTGCATTTAACAAAACTTTGGTATCTGAGGGGGCTATCAGGACTATTCTCCCTGATTCACACACTGTTTATGTCACACTGAAGCTGCTCAACACTACATCAATACTCAATACTACACATGCTGGCTACCTGGCTTGCAGGGTATACTGATCACAAGGACTAATAAATTTATTTATTTATTTATATTTTTTGAGGTCCTATACCTAGGTGCTTTACACTGAATTACATCTCCAGCCCCCCATAAAACAATTCTTAACAAGTTTTAAAAGACTTAAAACATACCTAATATCTTTTCTGACCTCAGAAATGAAACTACAAATCAATAGCAAAAGAAAAACTGGAAAATTTGCAAATATGCAAAAATTAATAACAATCTTGAACAACCAATGAGTCAAAGAAGGAACTACAACATAAATTAGAAAATATCTTGAGACAAATGAAAACAAAAATACAACCTAACAACATTATAGTATATAGTGAAAGCAGTACTAAGAAGGAAGTTTGTAGTTATAAATTCCTACATTACAGTTTTAATGCCTTCATTAAAAAAGAAGAAAAAAGATCTCAAAACTCGACTTTACCCTGTAAGGAACTAGAAAAAGGATAATGAACTAGACCCAAAAGAAAAATGAGTTAAACTTGAAGCTAACAGAAGCAAAGAAGTAATAAAAATTAGAGCATAAATAAGTTAAAGAGAAGAAAAAAATAATGGAACTAAGAGTTAGTTTTTAGAAACAATCAACAAAGTTGATAAATTCTTTGCTAGATTAAGGAAAAAGAGAAAAGACTCAACCAAAATTAGAAACAAGAGAGATATTTTGGGGGCTAATGCCACAGAAATAAAAAGGACTGTGAGAGACTACTATAGAGTAATTAGCCATCAAATGGCCTAATAGAAACAAATTCCTGGAAATATGTAACCTGTCCAGATTGAATCACAGAGAAATTTTTAAAAAATGAACAGACCCATAATTATAAGTGGATTGAATCAGTAATCAAAACTTCCCCTAAACCGGGCATGTTGGTGCATGCCTGTAATCCCAGCACTCAGGAGGCTGAGGTAGGAGGATTGCCACTAGTTCAAGGCCAGTCTGGATTACATAATGAGTTTAAGACCAGCCTGGACTACACAGAGAGACCCTGTCTTTAAAAGGGGGGGGGGGAGAGGGGGAAAGGAAGGAAAGAACAAAATAACTTCCCCCCAAAAGAGAACCCAGGGCCAGATGGCTTCCCTGAAGAATCCTACTAAACATTTTAAAAAAGTAATGCCAAGCCTCAAACCTTCTGAAAAAAAATGAAAAGAGAACACTTCCAAATTCATTTTATGAGGTCAGCATTACCTAATACCAAAATTAGATAGACACTATGAAAAAGAAAACTATAGACTAAATCCTTGATAACTATTGACACAAAAATTCCTAGCAAAATACTGGGAAACTACAATTCAACAGCACATTAAAGGGGATATATATATATATATATATATATATATATGTAACAAAGAGGGATTTATTCCAGAATGCAAAGATGGTTCAACACATGAAAACTAATAATGTGTTATGCCATATTAACAGAATTAAGGACAGAAATCACATGGTCATCTAAATTGATATAGAAAAAGCATTTGATAAAATTCATGATAAAAAATGCTCTACAAACTTGGAAAACACCTTAGTATAATGAAGGGCGTGTATGAAAAGCCCACAGCTAATGTCTACTCAACAATGAAAAAAACAGAAGCTTTTTTTCTAAGATGAAGGTCAAGGCAAGGTCTTTCTATTTAACATTCTACTATACTAGAAGTCTCAATAAAAGCAGTTAGGCAAGAAAAAGAAATAAAAGGCATTAAAGTAGGAAAGGAAAATTATTTCTCTTCAGAGATGACATAATTTTATACGTAAAAAGCCTTAATTTTTTTTTAGAATAAATGAGTTCAGCAAAATTGCAGGATACAAAATCAGCACAAAAGAATTAGTTGCATTTCTATACAATAATAATGAACAATCCAAAAAGGAAATTAATTTAAAAATCCCATCTGTAACAACAAAAAAGAACAAAATATTAACAAACTTAACCAAGAGGCAAAGAACTTATACACTTAAAGCTACAAAGCATTCCTCAATAAAATTAGAGAAGACACAAATAAATTGACAATGCTGTGTTCATGGATTGGAAGATTCATATTATTCAAATGTCCACCCTACCCAAAGATATCTAGAAATTCAGTGCAATACCTATCCAAATCTTGGATGTGAGGGCGAACTGGCTGCGATAATCTGTCACCCCATTGACTGCCAGGACTGATTCAGCTGATTGGCTGGCTAAGCCAGTGTCCTCTTCCTCCCTCACTGCTCTTTGACTGTCCCTCCCCAAGCTGCGGGGAGGAAAAGGAAAAGGACGATCACACAAGTAGCTGCACTTCCCTGCTAGAATCTCCAAAATCTCACTGACATTTTTTTCATTGAAATAGAAAAAAAAATCCTAAAATTCTTAAGGAATCTCAAAGGATTTTGAATAGCTCAAAAATCTTGAGAAGGAAAAACAAAGCTAGTGACTTAACACTTAGTGATTTTGGAAAATATTACAAACATACAGTAATCAAACAGTGATACTGGCACAAAGACAGACATATAAGCCAATAAAACAGTATAGACCCAGAAATAAGTCAAATGATTTATATATACAGTCAAATGATCTTCAACAGAAGTTGCCAAGACTATACAATAGTGAAAACATAGTTCCCTTCAAAAATAGTATTGGGAAAACTAGATATCCACACACAGAAGAATCAAACAATACTCATTTTGTTTTGTTTTTTGTTACCGGGGATCGAACTCGGGTCCTTGCGCGAGTTCGATCCCCGGTAACAAAAAACGAAACAAAACAAAAAAACTATACTCTTTAACTTACATGATACCAAAAAATTAATTCAAATCAATTAAAGACCAAATGGGAGACCCAAAACTACAAAATTCCTAGGAGAAAATATAGGAGGGAAACTTTATGTCACTGGATTTGGTAATGATTTTTTGAATATGATACCAAAAACACAGATAACAAAAGCAAAAATAATCTGGCCCTTTCTCTGAATCTCTTTTGGTAGCACAAAAACCTTACATTTGAATCAGCTTGCCTTACTTGGGCTTAACTTAGAAAAAAAAAAACCCTATCTCAGATAAACTCAAATTTACCTCAGTGTGTAGTATTGTTAAAAATAGCCACTGATAAGCATCTAGGTAGTAAGTATATGGTGTTCATGTTAAAATTTTTAAAATTTTGTTGTATATTTAAATTTTTTCCTAATGCTGGGAAAATACCACTCCAGGGGGGCATGAAACACCCTTATTCCAATAATTTTATGGTAACTCAGAAAGCTTAATATGTGGAATGGTTGAGGTTGCCTGCTCTGGAGCCAGACTATGAGGGTTCTTATTCAGCCTCTGCTACTTCCTATGTACCTTTCAGATAGTTACTATACTTCTCTGAGCCTTATCTTTCTTGACTATAAAATGAGATTCTTGGTTTTGTTGTGAGAATGAAATGAGAGGTTATGTATAAAAACACTTCTCAAATTGTTGGTAAATGATTGCTGTTGCTGTCACTTCCCTTACTACTATTTTGTAATTAATGGCTTCTCCCCTCCAAGAATGGCTAGAATTGTTACCCTCCTTTATCATTTATTTGAATAATAATTTGGGTCTAATTGGAGACAATTTTGAATGACATTGGAACTATTTCCAAAAATCAAATCTGTCTTCATTTTGTCCACTTCTCAGCCTTAGTAAATGAAACACCAGAAACACAATTTATTTACCCTTTCCTCAGTAAAGCTCAGTCCCCATCACAAATAGCACTTCTGGCCTTGGTTCTTGCACCATGGAGGCCGAGTCCAGCACTTAACCTACCTCCTGAGTGCTTCTGGCTGCCTGGGCTTCTGGACAGCTGATCCTCTCTTCCTTTCAGCCCTGGCAACCACCAATCTACTTTCTGTCTCTATAGATTTTCCACTTCTAGACAAATCATACAATGTGTGACATTTTATATCTGCTTTCTTTCACTTAGCATAATGTTTTCAGGTTCACCTATGTTATAGCTCATATCAAAACCTCATTCCTTTTTTATAGCTGAATGATATTTCATTTATGGATATATCACAGTCTGTTTATTCATTCACCAACTGATAGGCATTTGGTTTGTTTCCACTTTTGACTGTTATTATAACAATACTATAAATATTTGCCCACAAGTTCTTGTGTGGACATGTTTTCACTTCTCTTGTATATGTGCCTAAGCCAACTCTATATTGAACTTTCTGAGGAATAGTCAGACTGTTTTTCCGAAATGGTCACATCATTTTTGTGTGAGAACTCCAATTTCTTCACATTCTCCCCTGCACTTATTATCTGTCATTATTATTGTAGCCCTCCTGGTGAGTATAAAGCAGTATCTCATTTTTGCTTTATTTTGTTCTGTGTGTAGTGGTACTGGGGATTCAATCCAGGCTCTCATACATGCTGGCAGGTACTCTACCACTGAGCTATATCCCCAGCCCTTTTTAATTTTTATTTTGAGACAGGGTCTTACTGAGTTGCCCAGCCTGGCTTCAGACTCCCAATCCTCCTGCCTCAGCCTCCCAAATTGCTTGGATTACAGGTGTGCACCACTGCGCCCTGCTACTTCATTGTGGTTTTGATTTACATTGTATTTCTCTACTAGTGTTGTTGAACATTTTTAAATGTGCTTATTGATCACTTATATATCTTCTTTGGAAAGGTCTGTCTAAATTCTTTACTCATTTTTAATTGAACTAGTCATCTTTTTATTTCTGAGTTGTAGGAAGTCTATATATTCTAGATACATCTTATTATATTCACAGTTTTCAAAGCTTTTTGCTTTCTCAGTGGTCTTTGAAATAGTTTTAAATTTTGATGAAGTCCAATTTACTTATTTTTTCTTTTGTCACTTTTGCTTTCAGATATTGTATTTGCAGTCTGCCATGACTTGTCTAAAAATCTGACTTGCTCAGTAGGGGCAACATAACTATTATTATTAGTTTTCCTTATTTGAAGTTATAAAGCACTTGATTCAAATGCTTGCCAATTATATATAATATAAAAGAATTTAGAAATTGTACTTGGAGTTGATAAATCCATGTGTGTGGATTCACCTCAGGAAATAATTTGATAGAAAAAATATGCTATATTTTCAGAGTTGTACATTTATCTGTGACCCATGAGATTAAGGCATTGGGAGCCTATGCAAGAGAAAAGTTCTGAATTAATCCACTGTGTACATTACTATGCAATTATGAAGCTATATAGTGAAAATGTTTATGATATGTTTAGTGAGAAAAGAAATTATATGTTCTTTTATAATTGAATATATAAAATATGTGAACTAGAGGAAGGGTAAGTGCCTATAGTCATAGGTAGTTTTATTTTCTTACATTTCATTTAATATTAATATTTTATTTTCACAATTAAAAAATTAAGTTAAAATATATGTGCATGACATTTGGTGGCAGAAATAGTGATAAGTAGTTAGATCAGAGGATATATCAATATCTGTATATCTCACTACAACTTTTTTTAATAGTGATTATTTAAACATCATCATAACCATTGTGATCATCAGGATTAGGTTTAGGAACAACAAAATAGGACTGAGCATGCGGCACATACCTGTAATCCTAGAACTCTGGAGACTGAAACAGAAAGATCAAGAGTTGGAGGCCAGCCCGGAATACCTACTGAGACCCTGTCTCAAACCAAAAACAAAATGCAACAACAAGAAATTGTTGTGTTTGTCTACTAGGAATTTTAATAGAGCTATTTTAATTTTCTGTACATTTTTATATCAAGTCCAAACACTAATTATAATTTGATTTTAATTTAGAATTGCTGTTATCTTAGTCATTCTAGCGATACAATTTTCTAAGACAAAAAGTAATGATTATGGTGATATGTTAGTAGTGAGGATCATAGAAGCACTTTTCTCATGGTATCTCATGAAATAATTATTACAGTTATTTTACATATAAGTAAATCAGTCTTCCAGCTTTTGAAGTAAATTTCAAACAGATCAAAGATTTAATAGGTTTTTTAAAGAAGGATCAGTAAAGGCACTCAAAGAAAAACATAAACAGTAAAAAAGTAGCCACAATGCAAGGTCATGTGTAGTATGCACATCCAAGGTATGGCCCCAGTCTGAGTTGTTGAGCCACAAACTGGGTCTGTGGATATCCTGACCCTCTGATGTTTGGCTTCATCACAGTGATATTGGTCCTTGGCACAGTCAGTAACTCCGAGGCGATCCCTTCCCAGAAGCCTGGGGTGGTAGGACAGCAGTCAGGGAAAGGCCACACAGAGACCCAGCTCTTACATAATCAGCCAGTGTACCACCCAACCCTCCCCCGCATTCTCACACTGCTGCTAACTTGGTTTTGGGGCCTGGCTTAAGGGACAGAGGCGTCATCATGATCTTATATGTGGGAAGGCTATGAAAAGAAAACCCTTGTTGGCCCAAATATTTAAACAAGAATTACACTGGATCTTTTGTTCTCACTCTGACATGGTCAGAATTAATTTAAGGTCCAAAAGAGGGTGTTTTTGTTTCTGTCTTTAAAGCTGAGTTACTTAATGCAGGCAGATGGGGGGACAACAACAAAAAAACATTGCTTAAGTCTGTCAAGTGGTATTGGAACATCCCCAGGTCATTTTTCAGAGCACTACTTTGTTAGTAACTGAGGGGCACCTGATTCAGATACCACAACCAAGCTGCTGATGAGATTGTGAGAAGATTTAGATGATAGAGGGCAAGCAGTGGGTATCTCTGTGGATCTTAGAAACAGAGCTTAAGAGATCTTAATCATGTTTTTTTTTCTTTCTTATCTACTTTAATAGGAAAAATCTGTTTTCTGAAAATTACTGAAAAAGCTGCCCGTAGAAGCTGTTTCTTGCATGCTTGTGGAATAGCTGGAATCTATACTGTAAGGCTTGTGATGGGACAAGCTGTCACCTGCTGATCACCCAGAGTGACTCACCATGGCCAGCAAGAGGAAATCTACCACCCCATGCATGATCCCAGTGAAAACTGTGGTGCTACAGAATGCCAGTGTGGAGGCCCAACCTGCTGAGGCCTTGCCTGAAGGACCCCAGCAGGATCTGCCCTCAGAAGCACCTGCCACCACTAGTGAGGCAGCCCAGAACTCCAGCAGCACTGATGGCTCTGCACTGGCCAATGGACATCGGAGCACTTTGGATGGCTATTTATACTCCTGTAAAGACTGTGATTTCAGATCCCAGGATATGACCCAATTTGTGGGACATATGAACTCAGAGCACATGGACTTTAATAAAGACCCAACTTTTATATGCACTGGGTGCAGTTTCCTGGCCAAAAACCCTGAAGGCCTTTCCTTGCACAATGCTAAGTGTCACTTGGGGGAAGCCAGCTTTGTTTGGAATGTGGTCAAGGCAGACAATCATGTAGTGGTGGGGCAGAGTGTGCCCGAGAGCACCAGCACTCCTGACCTAGCCGTTGAGCCCAGCACTGAAGGAACTGATGGGCAGGCTGAAATCATCATTACTAAGACCCCAATCATGAAGATAATGAAAGGCAAAGCTGAAGCCAAAAAAATTCATATGCTCAAGGAGAATGTCCCTAGTCAGCCTATGGGTGAGGCCTTGCCAAAGCCATCTGGTGGAGAGACAGAAGTGAAAGAGGGAGACCATGCCTTTGTTAATGGGGCAGCTCCTGTCAGCCAGGCATCTGCCAGCTCTGCAAAGCCTCCCCATGCTGCCAATGGGCCGCTAAAAGGAGCAGTGCCAGTTTTGCCAGCTGGTATAGCACAGTTCCTCTCCCTCCAGCAGCAGCCCCCAGTGCATGCCCAGCACCATGCACACCAGCCCCTCCCCACATCCAAGTCCCTTCCCAAAGTGATGATCCCCTTGAGCAGCATCCCAACATACAATGCAGCTATGGATTCCAACAGCTTCCTGAAGAACTCCTTCCACAAGTTCCCCTACCCAACCAAAGCTGAGCTCTGCTACCTAACTGTGGTGACCAAGTATCCAGAAGAACAGCTTAAAATCTGGTTCACAGCCCAGAGGCTGAAACAGGGTATCAGCTGGTCTCCTGAGGAGATCGAGGATGCCCGGAAAAAGATGTTCAATACAGTCATTCAATCTGTACCTCAGCCTACAATCACAGTTCTGAACACACCTCTCGTTGCCAGTGCTGGCAATGTCCAGCATCTCATTCAGGCCGCTCTCCCAGGGCATGTTGTGGGACAGCCAGAGGGCACAGCAGGGGGACTCCTGGTCACTCAACCACTGATGGCCAATGGGTTGCAAGCACCAAACTCATCTCTGCCCCTGGCAGTTACATCTATCTCCAAGCAGCCATCTGTGACACCCATTAATACTGTGTGTTCAAATACAACATCGGCTGTGAAGGTGGTCAATGCAGCCCAGTCACTCCTCACTGCATGCCCCAGCATAACTTCCCAAGCCTTCCTTGATGCTAACATATACAAAAATAAGAAGTCTCATGAACAGCTGTCAGCTCTGAAAGGGAGCTTCTGTCGGAACCAGTTCCCAGGGCAGAGTGAAGTTGAGCATCTGACCAAAGTGACTGGGCTCAGTACCAGAGAGGTGCGGAAATGGTTCAGTGATCGGAGATACCACTGCCGGAACCTGAAGGGCTCCAGAGCTATGATGCCTGGAGAGTCTGGCTCCATCCTCATTGACTCTTTACCAGAGGTCCCCTTTTCCCCATTATCCAAGGCCCCTGAAGTGGCCTGTATCCCAACAGCAGCCTCGCTGGCAAGCCACCCTGCTGCCAAACGGCAATCCTGGCACCAGACGCCTGACTTCACACCAACCAAATACAAAGAAAGAGCCCCTGAGCAGCTCCGTGTGCTGGAGAGCAGCTTTGCACAAAACCCACTTCCTCTTGATGAGGAACTAGACCGTCTGAGAAGTGAAACCAAGATGACACGGAGAGAAATTGATAGCTGGTTTTCAGAGAGACGGAAAAAAGTGAATGCTGAGGAGACCAAGAAAGCTGATGAGAATGCCTCTCAGGAGGAAGAGGAGGCTGCTGAAGATGAGGGTGGAGAAGGAGAATTGGCCAGTGAGCTGAGAGTCACTGGTGAAAATGGCTCCCTAGAAATGCCTGTCAACCAGACTTCAGCAGAACGCAAGGTCAGCCCCATCAAAATTAACCTCAAGAACTTGCGGGTCACTGAAGCCAGTGGCAAGAATGACCTTCCAGGGCTGGGTGCCTGTGAGCCTGAGGATGATGGGTTGAACAAGCTGGTAGAGCAACCCCCAGGCAAAATGAGCTACAAAAAGACACCTCAGCAGCGACACTTGCTGCGGCAGCTCTTTGTCCAGACACAGTGGCCAAGCAACCAGGACTATGACTCTATCATGGCCCAGACAGGCCTGCCACGCCCAGAGGTGGTGCGCTGGTTTGGGGACAGCAGGTATGCCCTGAAGAATGGCCAGCTCAAGTGGTATGAAGACTACAAGCATGGCAACTTCCCACCAGGGCTACTGGTCATTGCCCCTGACAACCGGGAACTGCTGCAAGACTATTATATGACACACAAGATGCTGTATGAGGAGGACCTACAGAACCTCTGTGACAAGACCCAGATGAGTTCCCAGCAGGTCAAGCAATGGTTTGCTGAGAAAATGGGTGAGGAAACACGTGCTGTGGCAGACACAAGCAGTGAGGACCAGCACCCTGGTGCTGGAGAGCTTGTGGCAGTTCACAAAGGCCTGGGTGACACCTATTCAGAAGTGTCTGAAAATAGTGAGTCGTGTGAACTCAGTGCCCCTGAGGCCAGCTCAGAGCCCTTTGACACATCCAATTCCAAGACTGGACTTGAACTAGGTAAGGAGTACCTGGGAACCATTGCCTTCCTCTGTGGGTGAGGGGAGGATGCACTTCTCAAGTAGGCACTGAGTTTATTGCACAGGGGACATCTGCTGTCTCTAAGGTACCTGGTAGCAGCATTAATTGATTGCTTAAGAGGACAAACAGCAATAAAATCCAAGGCAGTCTAAAATAATAAAAGGTTGAGAGTGAGTTAGGATTTTGTTTGGTTCACTTTTTTAAAACCTGTACAAAGGAAAGAACATGGTGAACCTAAAGGCATCTAAGGTTTTCTAGTCACTGCTTAGCAATAGGAGAATAAATAAAACATCATGTAAGTCGGGCAAATCACCGTAACTGGGTAGGAGAGAGCAAAAGGACATCAGAGGAAATTCAACTCAAATTGGTCACCAAAGAAAAGAGAGCCTGTAATTATCTTTACACACAGGAAGTGTTTCTATCTAATGGTGAAAATCCTGTCTTAGGTTTCTTTTTTAACATATTATAGAATGCAAACCTTGAATTTTGTTCCTAAATTTCTCTGGTCATGATATTTTAGTACTGAAAAGTAAAATTTTAAGTATTGTTTAAGACATAGTTGTGAAGCTATAGATTATTCATATTATTGGATGATTTTCTGGATTCTTTATCCCTGAGTTCCCAGCTTCTCTCTCCCTTCATGAGAGGCCCCATCACAGGGAAGCCAGAAGCCCAAGTGAGAACCAGGAGAAAAGAGTGTTACAAAGCTAAAGGGATTGGCAGCTCCAAATGGCAACTAGGGAGCTGGGTTTGCTGTGGTGGAGGGGTGCTGGAGACATCCAGAAACGTGGAGGTTGGTCCCTGGAGACTGTGATATAAGTTGCTTCAGTGTGGAGCCTTGTATTTGACACCTCATTCCCAAGGCCAGGAATAGGATCCTGCCCCTCAGCCCCAGTTCCTTAACCCAAGCTGCTTTCTACTTAAAATTTGTAAAAAGAACAAAATTATTTTTCTTCCTTTGAATATTTTAATTGCATTACAACACAGTTTTGAAGCACAGATATGCTATTGTTTTTTTTACTCCTTTAAGGAAAAAGAGGCTTCCATGTCTGCTCATATTGGGGGAAGGGTGCCAGGGTTTCCATTTGTTTAGCATTTTTAGAAAGCCTATTCTTTTAATGTTCATATATTAAAGGAAACACCTGGTGGAGCCCAAGTCACTGGTTAGGAGATAAGGTGAACACACAGAGCAGCTAGCTCTTTGCTGGTACCTTCAATTCCAGCCTCTTCTGAGGAAAGACTAGAGGGAGATGCTGTCCTCCTCTGGGACCCAGACTCACAGAGTGCTTCCTGAAGGAGCTGGTGAAATAGTATGGAGTTGGAGCAGGACAAGAAGGAGCTTGCCTATGGTTGGTTTGAGCTTTTTCAATGCAAAGCAGGTTGTCTCTCCTCTTTGGAAGGCTTTGTCCAAGTTGGTTTAAGTGTCCAGCCCTATACTTCATTTGCCTACCAGTAGGCCAGGTGTCATGCTCAAAAGAGATGAAAATGTTTGAATAAGTCTGTTAAAAAGCTGACTTGGAGCCAGATGTAAGTGCACATGCCTGTAAATCCCAGCACTTGGGAGGCTGAGGCAGGAGGGTTGCTGAGAGTTGGCCAACCTGGGCAACATAGTGCGTTCAAGGTTAGCCTGAATTACATATTGGTAACAAGACCCTGTCTCAAAAAATAAAACATTACAAAAAAGCTGCCTGGTGAGAGTGATGTCATAGAAGATGGTAGAGCAGAGAATACCATCCCTGCATCAGAACAGCTATTGAGCTGACATAAGCTTTCTGAACCAAATATTTGTAAGTCTGGAGTTTAGTTGAACACTTGTAACACACAGAGGAGCTTGATGGGAGCGGCTTGCACATCTTGGTGATGTTCTGTTTCACATAGCATCATCACCTCTTCCATCTCTGCTGCTGGCAGCCATGGCGACTATGGCCCAGGTTCCTGGTGAGGCTTATTGTTGCCAGGCTGGGAAATAATGACTTTGTCTTCCAAAAGTCAAGTTTTGTGTTTTGATTGCTGAACACTATATTTCCTCACTGAGGAACCAGAATAGAGGCTGTTACTGTTCCAGCCCCCATGGGCTGAAACAATTTCCTAGCTACAGGGGATTTAATGAGATAGTGCCTTTAAAAAAGTACCCCCCCTTTTGGTGAGCCAGACATTTAAGGAAATCTTAGGTTACCAAAGAGATCACAGAAACTTCAGTGACACCCCCCCCATACAAGTAATACACATTTTGCAAAAATAGGTTGGAAAAGTCACAAAACCCTCCACAAGCAAAAATTAGCAAAGCTGGAGGCCAAGATAATTATATTTTAAGTCACGACGTGTAGTATTCAAAATGTCCACTTCTTAACAAAAAAATTAAAATACAAAGAAATAGGAAAGTATGGCTTGTTCATAGGGAGAAAAAGAATTTGACAGACACCTTCATTGAGGAAGTCCAGACATTGGAATTATTAGTCAAAAATGTTAAATCAACTGTCTTAAATATATTCAGTGAGCTAAGGGAAATTATCAACAAAGGCCTAAAGGAAATAAGGGCGACTACACATGATGGAATTGAGAATGTCAGTAAAGAGATAGAAATTTTTAAGTGGAACTAAACCCTAGAGCTAAAAAGTACAGTTACTAAAATGAAAAATTTACAAAAGGGGGTTAAGCAACAAATTTGAGCGAGGAGAAGAAAGGATCAATGAATTTGAAGATGATTTAAGTTAGCCAAACGATCAGGAAAAAAAGGAAAATGAACAGAGCCTAAGAGACCTGCGAGAAAGAGTCATAAAGAATATTTAAAGAAAGGATGAGCTGGGCATGATCACACACGCCTATAATCCCAGCCCTCTTGGAGGCTGAAGCAGGAGGATTGCAAGTTTGAGACCAGCCTGGGCAACTTAGCAACTTAGACCCTGTTTCAAAATAAAACATAACAAGGGGTTGGAAATATAGCTCAGTGTGAAGGTTCTGGGTTGAATCCCCAGTACGCCCCCTGCCAAAGAAGAGGCAGAAAACTTTTTAAATCTTGTGAAAGACATGAATGTACAAATCCAAAAAGTTCAGTGAACTTCAAGCAGGATAAATTCAAAGAGATCCACTAAGACTCATATTAAAATTGTCAAAACCCAAAGACAAAGATAATTTTGAAAGTAACAGTAGGAAACCAGCTCATTACACATAAGGGAGCCTCAATAAGCTTAATAGTTGATTGCTTATAAGAAACCTTGGAGACCTGAAGGCAGTGAAAGGACACATCTAGGGTCCTGAAAGGACCAAAAAACAAAACAAAACAAAACAAAAAACCCCCAAAAAACAACTTCAAAAATCTACCAACCAAGATTTCTTTATCTGACAAAAATGTCCTTCAGAGTTCGATCCCCAGTACTAAAAAAAAAAAAGTCCTTCAAAGATAAAAAGGGAAATTAAGGCATTTTCAGATGAATAGAAGCTACAGGAGTTCATTACCAGTAGATCTGCCCTACTAAAAGTGCTACCAAGAGTCCTGTAAGCTGAAATGAAAGGATAGTAAAGTCAGAAGAAAACAATAACACTGATAAATTTATAGGTAAATATAAAAGCCAGTGTCATTGCATTATATTTGTAACTTTTCTTTTTCCAATGTAGTTCGTGAAATAAATTGCATTAAAAATTATAAATCTATGCTAGTGGCGTACAGTGCAATAAGATGTAATCTGTGTAAATAACAAAGCAATAACAAAAAGGGAGATATATAGAAGCAGTATTTGTATAATATTGAAACAAAATTGGTATTAGAATAGATTATTTTAAATTTAAGATATTAATTGTAATCCCCAAGTTAATCTCAAAGAAAATAACTAATATATGTGTGTGTTATATACATATATATGTACATAGAAAGGAGGCAATCAAATCTGGTACATTGTAAGCAAGGAGATATTTTTTAAAAATTTTAATAGTACATATTTACAGTATATAATGATTACATTCCTTTTGGGAGTTGGTATATATATGTAACACATCTTAATTCTTTTTTTCATCCCCATCTTCCCCCCTTCCCCCTGTCCTCCATTTCTTTTCTTTCTTTCTTTTTTTTTTTTTTTGTACTGGGAATTGGACTGAGGACCTTGCACCTGAGAGGCAGGTGCAGTGCCACTGAGCTAAATTCCCAGCTCTTGTCCTCCATTTCTTGACCCCCTTCCCTTTTGCAAAAGAGCTATCTCTCTTTTTGCTATTATCTATCCTTTATTTTGCTTTTTATTTTGTGTTTCTCATATAAGAGAAACCATGCGATATTTAAGCTTATGTTTGATTTATTTCACTTAACGTGGTAGTCTAAAGGAGCATCCATTTCCCTATAGATGACTCAAGTTTATTCTTTATTGCAGAGTAGTATTCCATTGAGTGTAAATACCACATTTCTTTATTCATTCATCTGTTGATGTACATACAGACTACTTCCAAGATTTAACTGTTAAATCTTGTGCTGCTATAAAATGAATATGCATGATCACTGTAGTATGATGTCTTTAACTCTTTGGGGAAGATACTAGAAGGGGAATAGCTGGGTTAAATGGAATTTCTAGTTTTAGTTTTTTGAGGACTCTCCATACTGATCTGTATTATGATTGTACTAGCCTTCTGTCTGAGGAATAGCTGACAAATTTTTTTTCCAATTCTATAGGTTGTCTCTTCACTCTGTTGGTTGTTTTCTTTGCTGTACAGAAGCTTTTCAACTTTATATGATCCTATTTGTTGATTCTTGGTGTTAAGATCTTTTATGCAATTAGAGTTCTGTTCAGAAAATCTTTGCCTATGCCTATGTCTTCAAGAGCTTTACCTATTTTATCTTCCAGCAGGTTGTTTCAACAGTCAAATATTAAGAAAGGGAGCCAGGAATTTAGCTCAGTGGCACTGCACCTGCCTTCCAAGTGCAAGGTCCTGAGTTCAATCCCTGGGACTGGAAAAAAAAGAAAATAAATATAAGAAAGGCTGTGATGGAGGAATTAAGGAGCCAAAAACACATAAGACATACAGAAACCAAATAGTTAAATGACAGGAGTAAATTCTTCATATTCTTTTTCTAACTTTGGATTAAGCTGTGTTAAAGACAAAGATTGTCAGGTTCAATTTTTTTAAAAAATGGATCCATCTATATGCTGCCTACAAGAAACTCACTTTGAATATAAGGATGCAAAGAAGGCCGAGGGTTTAGCTCAGTGGTTCTGCCTCCTACCTCACAAGCACAAGGACCAGAGTTCAATCCCCGGTACCAAAAAAAAAAAAAAAAACGATGCAAAGAGATTTAAAATAAAAGAATAGAAAAAGATATGCTATACAAATAGTAACCAAAAGACAGCTGAGGTGGCTATATTATCATCAGACAAAATAGACTTTAAGAAAGGCTAAAAAGATAAGGAAGGATATTATATGTTGATAAAAGGCTTAATACAACAAGATGATAGAATAGCTACTGGCATTTATGTACCTAACAGAGCCCTAAAATATATGAAGCAAAAATTAACAGAATTAAAGGGAGAATTGGACAGAAACATTTGGAGACTTTAATACCCTGCTTTTAATAATGGATATAAAAAATAGAAGATCAGCCAGGCATCATGGCACACACCTATAATCCCAGCACTTGGGAGTCTGAAGCAGGAGGAGTGCTGTGAATTTAAGGCCAGCCTGAACTACATAGTAAGAACCTGTCTTAAAAAAAAAAAAAAAGGTAAAGAAGAAGATCAGCAAGGAATTAGAGGACTTGAAAAACAATACAATCCATTTAGACCTAACAGACATAAAAGGGATCAATGACCTAAGCAAAAGGGCAAAAACTAAAATAAGAAAATACAGGTGGAAGCCTTCCAGATCTTGGATTAGGCAATGATTTCTTAAGTCTGATAGCAAAAGCATAGTCAACAGAAGAAAAAAAATAAGTTGGACTACATCAAAATTTTGATATTTTCATATCAAAGAACACTTTAAAGAGAGTGAAAAGACAAGCAACAGAATAGGAAAAATACCTGAGAGTCATATATTTAATGAGACTAATATTCAAAATATATATAGAAGTTCTGCAACTCAACAACAAAAATGAGTAAGTGCTTTTAAGTTATTTTTCTAAATAAGATACATAAATAGCCAATAGGCACATGACAAGATAATCAACATCTCTAGTCATTAAGGAAATGTAGGTCAAAACCACAATGAGAGCCAGGTGTGGTGGTGCACACCTGTAATCTCAGCACTCAGAGGCTGATGCAGGAGGATCTCTGTGAGTTTGAGGCCAGCTTGGACTACATGGTGAGTTCAAGACCAGCCTGGAATACATAGCAAGACCCTATCTTAAAAAAATTAAAAATTAAAATAAAACCACAGTGAGACTCAAGTTCACACTTAGGACAGCTATCACACATATATGTGCACACACAATAACATGCACTGGGAAGGATGTGGAGAAATTTGATTGTTTGTTGCAGTGTAAAACTTTGGAAGACAATTTGGCAGTTCTTCAAGAAGTTGAATTATTTAATCTTAATAATTTGACTCATAGGTATATACCCAAAAGGATTGGAAAGAGAAATTCAGATATTTGTACACCAATCTTCATGGCAGCATTATTCACATGATCAAAAAGTTGTCCTAGTGTCCTTTGAACGATGAATAAGCAAAATGCATGGTGTATACATACAGTGAATATTATTTAGCCATAAATGGAATGAAATTCAGATGCATTCTACAAAAATGGGCCTTGAAAACACTGAGCTAAGAGAAATAAGCCAGACACAAAAGACAAATACTGTATGATTACGTGTATATGAAGTATCTAGAATAGAAATTTATGGAGATAGTAGAATGCAGGATACCAAGGTTTGGAAGGAAGAAGTGATTGAGAGTGGCTGTTTAATAGGTATATAATTTCTATTTAGGATGATGAAGTAGTTTTATAACATGGTGAATGTACTTAATCCAATGAATGACTCTGAGTCATAAACACTGGCTCCCTTCAGCTACTAAAACCAACACAAAGTGAAATGTTGGTGTCCTTTGTGGGACACAGCAGGAGCAGCAGGGGTGGCCATGCCATTATGGAATCATCTTTTGAGGCTTGTCTGTTTATCCACATCTGGTTTCTCACATTTCTCAGCCAGCCGCAATGCAAGGGCCTTATCTGTATGCATCCTCTCTGATCAGCATCACTAAATTTTTAGACTTACAAGTTACAAATGAAGACATCAGTAGAACTAGACTCAGCTGCTGTGATATTAGTGATGTGTTCCAGGAAACCTGGAGGGTGAAGCCAGGACTCTGCTGCCTGGGGTCCTGGGCAAGCAAGGGATTGTGGGCCTGAGGAGGCCAAGCTGCTGCTTTACCTGCTAGGTCTGGAATTTGGCAGTGGTCCCATGGAGGGTTCAAATGCCTTGCCTGACTTAGCCAGTGTCCTGTCCTGAGCCACATACTCTTTTCCACCTTCCCTCAGGCTGGAGATGGAGTGGCTGATAGGAAAGCACTGCTCGTGGAATTTAAAAATCCCCAAAGCTAGTGACAACACCCTGGCATAGTGAGGACCAGGCTGCCGTGGGGATATATGAGCTGCAGCTGCTGTAGAGTGACAGGAATGTGTTTTTTCCCCAGAAAGAGACTGAATTTGATCCAATTACTATGAAGGACCGGCCAGTCTAGGATGCTGCCTGCCATGTGGAAGAGCCAAATCCACCTCTCTACTGCCACATTTTGTTCCCATGGCCAGCCACTGGGCACCCAGAAGAGCCTCTGGAAGTCTCACTGATAGCCTGGAGCCCAACGCTGCCATCTTCACCCTGGGCCTGCCACCACCAAGCAAGTGGCAAGCAGGGGGATCATCATCAGTCCTTCCTCCCACAGTGTAGGACCTTTCCTTTGCCTTCCAAGGATAAAATAGTCCAGATTTCATATTTGTAGACACAGAATCAAGTTTTTAACCTATACATCTGCCTATATACATTTAATAAAAAGGTTACAAACACTTTCACTATATAGAAACTTTGGTTAGCAAAGGAGTATATTGTTCACATCATCTCTGAAAATGCTGCGTGTCTGTTCTCTGGAGAGTGCTGGGGCCATGAGATCCCTCACCTTCCACAGGCAGGCAAGGGTTAAAGGCACACTCAGAACTGTGTCCAGGCTACTGGACCTCCACTTCGTCTTGCTGTAAGCAGCAGTATTTTGAAGAGAGCTCTGCCTCCTTAAGCAGTGACCAGCCACATGTCATGCCCAGCTTGCCTTGCCTTGTGGGCTGATCAGTTCAGAAAATGGCACAGCTGAGATTAGTGTTTGGATGCTCACCACTCTAAAGTTGTTACTGTAATTCTGCTTTTTCATGAGAGTTTGAATCATGGACCATAACTTTTTGGTTATTAGATTAAGGAAACATTTGTTGTTAAGCCTAATATACTGACCTATGTGCCCACTTTACTTTTTTTTTTTTCCTTTAATCCAGACACTTAGAGTGAAAAGAAATGGAAAAAGGCAATAGAGGTGGGGCAGAAGTGGAAGGTATGCACACATCCTCTAGCCCCGGCCACGGCTCAGAGACCTTTCTCCCCATGCACTGCAAAGCCTCCTGCTGGCTGGGAGGGAAGAACACACTGGCTCAGCAGTGACGAGGGCTGAAGGGATTCAGGGACTGTTTGGAATTATCAGAGCTGTTAATTTTGAGCACAAAGACCTGCAGTAGATAGTTCCTGGCAGAATATCCAGAGTGACCCAGCTGTACACCGGCACCTGCCCAGTGTGCTGGGTGCATGCCCCAGCAGTGCTGGACACCACTGGTCCTGTGAGGATGTTTTAAAATTATGTATTTATATTGTTAAACTGGGAATCAAGAACTCTTATTTCATGTCCTCCTTTGAATTGAGAAAAAGAATAGGAAAAGGTGCCTTTGAAATGACAGAAAACATGCTTACAGAGTTGTATTAAATGGTAATGCCCCTTTTTCCCCAGCACTGGCCACTCTTCGAGCAGTTGATATGGGGGTGGGGCTGGCTAAGGACCTGTTACCTCTGGTGTCACCTCTTAGAAACATCCTGCTTCCCAAAGCACCAGGCACAGGTACTAGGACCTCATGGGCTCACTCCCAGACCTGGGTGAGAGTGGAGCACCAGGAGGGCCAGAGTACGGCAAGGGCTTAGGGCAAGAAAACTAGTGTGTTCTAGGCCTTCCTCCTTCTCCTACCAGAGAACTGGAACAGCCAAGCCACCCTACTGACTTGGCATCAAGGACAAGCCATGGTGGCAGCACCTTCTGTTTCCCAGGAGAGGGCTTTCTTTGGAGAGCAAAGCCCTTGAACCAGTGTTCCTCTCTTTTTCCATTGTTCTTTTCTTTCTTGCCCTCCATGTCCCAATAGGGGCTACTTTTTTTTTTTTTTTTTTTTTGGTATTGGGGATTGAACTCGGGACCTTGCGCTTGCACGGCAGGTGCCAAAACCACTGAGCTAAATCCCCGGCCAGGGCCACTTATTTGTCTCAAATTGGGGACTTGTGAGTACTTGTCAAGTTTTGCAGCCTATCTTTGTATTCTTTCCATTTGGGGATTGAAGTTATTTGGTTCTAAAAGCCTTTGAGGAATTGCCAAGAATGGAGAGAGTGCCTTCCTTCAGAGAACAGACACCTGGAATTTTCCCTTCAGTGTTTATGTACATGCAGTTTAATTTATATATCTACATATATACAGTAAAAATACTCATTTGATAGTTTGCTTGTAAAATGTACACATGATGTGTGCCCTTGAGGAACTTCATGGCATGTGGGTATTGGGGGAGGTGGCCTGTGCGACAGGGAATGATGGTGCCTTGCACAGCTGCTGTGGTGGCCTAGCATAAAGCCATCTCCAAGAATCTGAGAAGCTGACCAGTGCCTCACCCCCAGATCCTTGCTAATGTCCCCTCCAGAGCCCTACAGTCACTGGCTGAATGATAGTGTCTATTGAGAGGGTTCTCTTGGTTATGTATTGAATTTTAATCTACAACCCAAAGAACAAAACAGAAAAAAATAAGTCACATGGTGGACAAGTTCATGCATGACATAGAGAGTGCCTAAGCCTCGGGTACCAGGTTGTGTTTTAGGTGGAAATTATGACATCAGTCCCAGCATGTTTTTCTCAGATGTTGGCCCTGCTTAACATCCATGGCTATGCCACAAATGGCAAGATGGCCTAGATAAGAAGCCTAGCAGACTGGACAGACCCTGCTTCTTCTTGTGCTCTTAAGAGGGGAGTGAGAAAGTGTGGTTTGAACTGGAAAGAGTAGGTGACAGTGAAGGAGGTGGTCACTGAGTAGGGACTCAGGGCTTTGAGTGCAAGCCCTGAATGCAGTGTGCCAGGCAGAGACTTGCCTACAAGAGCCCACTGTGTCACAGATACACTGACAGTGGCAGTAGGGACTATGAGATGACAGCAGCCCAGTCTGTGGCTCATCACAAGATGCATTGCTAAAGGGTTAAATTAGGTGTTGTCAAGAAGAGGCCTGTACTATAAGCTGATGAATATTTTCCCTTTTCTCTGTATGCCTGTGGACTTAGTTTCTTGTTGCCCATTGTACCTGTTTATTTTGTTTTTTTACATGGGGTTATATATTCAGTTCTAACAGGTGAAACCAGATCACTTTTCTTTTTTTTTTTTTGGAGATGTCTTGCTATATAGTTCAGACTGGCCTTGAACTTACGGTGATCTTCCTGCCTCAGCCAGATCACTTTCTGATAAAGAAAATTTGAATTGATGATACATAAGCTTTACATATTTGATTGTTGTGATTTTTGAATGTAGAGGACCTTTTTGATTTGGGGAGGAGAAAATCATTTTCAAGGCTTGGGTTCCTGAAAAAGAATGCCCTAGCTTGACAGCTCACCAGCACCTTGAGATTTGGTGGTAGCTGACTGAGCTTTCTCTTGGCAGTGACAGGCAGCTGTTCAGGTGGACCAAAGCACCTCAGCCCACAGCCCCACAACTTGTTCTCTAGAAGCAGAAGAGTTGGGCAGAGGTGCTGGGTGGGACCTTTTGGGCTTCCACCTGCACTGTACCTTGCTCCCATGGAAGATCCAACGTGTTCTCCAGGCTGAAACATGGTTCCTGGGGTTTATATCTTGTTCAGTCCTGTGCTCCCTCTCCTTCTTTCTGGCACTAGGACATCTGTCCCAAAGCTACCTTCTATGGAGAATGGGAGGTAGACTTTCTGGTTGGGTGCTTATGTTTCTGTGCACATGCTTTCCCTCTGCTGCCTACTCAGTGTTCCTGTGTTGGACCCTACTTCTCCTGTCTTCCTAGTCTGTGTGCACTAAAATCCTCAGGTTGAAGCAGCTTGTCAGTTCAAACATCACAGCCCAAGTGGGTAAAGGCACTTTACAAGAGAGAAGAGAACCCAAGAAGAAAACTTTAACTTTGAAAGTTGGAGTTTAGGTTTTACCTATCCTACCCCCTTTCCCTCAACTTTCCTTGCAGTTTATCCTGGGAAGTTATTGGTTTTAAGCATAAACTTTTCATGCATCACATCTCTTTGTAAGGGTGTTGCATGCTGAAGGAAAGCCCATGGGGCACATGGAAGTCAACACAGCCAGCACATCCTGGCCAAAGCCAGCAGCCTGCCCAGGTCAGGGCCTGGTTCACCTGACCTCAGATGTGGTAACCCCTCTGCACGGCTCTTGACCCAGCTTTTTCTCTTCTTTTCCCTGAGAACGGGCTTCTCCAACCCTCCCTTTCAGACCTCAGGAGGCTGTCTTCATGTGCGTGGAGAGCACTGAGTCAGCAGGCAGTGGCAGAGCTCAAGCCTCTCTCTGAGTTCAAGTCCCCTCCCTAACCAAAGCTTCAAGCTGAGGTACCTACCGTGTGACTTTTGGCTGATATAAGCTGGTAAGGTCACACTGAACCATGACACCCTAGGGCTGACAAGGCCATGGGGACCTTGTGAACAGAATGACTTTTGGTTTTGTCTTGAGTGACTAGATGGAAGTGGCACTCATGGAGCTGACAGACCTCAGATTGAATCCATTTGTTGGAACCTGTGTGTTCCCAGTGTGCAGCCACCCTGTTTGGAGGAGATGGGCAGCAAACCCATGCATTCTCAGAGCTGACCCTGCATTTGTACTTAGTTAAGTGAAAGGAGCTTGTCTGTCTAGAGCATGTGGCTCTAGAAAGGATATAAAGCCTGCGTTTGAGTCTTCTGTCTTGAATTCACTTGTCTGTAATAGGCAGCCATTCTGTCCTGCCTGCAAATCTGACCTTGTCCTTGAAAAGGATTTAGTTCTTCACTACTCTGAAGCAATGACATAGAAGAGTTTTTAGCCCAGGGTCTGCCCTTAAATCTGGGGCAAGGACAGGAACCTAGAGGCTAGGGATGAGACTAGGCTGATCCTGACTGCCACATGGACAAGGGCAAGGGGCAAGTACCTGCCTTCCTTAGTTTATAATGTATTAACTTTTGTCTCTGCCCTTTTTTGCCTGAACCTGGCCCTTGATGCTGCTCCACAGGGGTCTGGCAGAGCCAAGGGAGGAAGGAGCAGAGCACCATCCTGGCAGGGACTGGCTGGCATCTTTCTGCTGTCCGGGTGGGGGGGCAAGAAGGTGGCAAGCCAGGACACCTGAGGGGCCTGTGTGCTTACCTATTTGTGACTCTTCGGCTGAGGGGTGGGGGAGCACATCTTGTGCACACAGACGGGCGCCTACATGTGTCAATAGCTTCTTTTGGTTCATGGTTTTAACTTACGTTCCCTTCCATGATAAATGAGGTGACTCAGAATTACTCAGTGACTAGAGTCTAAGGTAAAGTGTCCAAGATAAAGGCTGCTTGCTCAGTCACTAAGAATAGGAGACGCCAAGTGCTGAGTCCTTTCCAAGTGTCAACCCCAGAACAGAAATACTGTGACGAGGGTAAAAATCAATCAACATAGTGCCTATAATCCCGAAATTTGCATTTAACACATTCCCACCAGCTTCAACCACTGGTGATTCACGCATGACTGTCCCACTGGGTATCTTGGACTACCCAATGAGACTGTGCCATGCTGTCCAGAGAATCATGCATGTAACAGTGGCTCAGAGCTGCCCATCAGCGAGACATGAATTATGGCCCTATTGTGAATGTGTTAGAAATCTTGCCACTCGTTCCTGGTTCCTGCCCATACAGTGCTCTCATTCTTGCAGTTTGCTTGATCGAAGCCCATGTGATTGTTGGCTAGAGCAAGAACGATAGCACCCCTCCTCTGTGGGTCACCAGCCTGACAGGTCAGACCCTGTGAATCTGGGCAAGGGCCTCAAAGCAGTGATCACCCCTGGATGTAAGCTCCCACCATGCTTCTGAGAAGCTGCTTTGTTCAGCAGCATCAGGTGGGCCAGACTGCCATAATTTGTTATTAAAAAGAAAAACATGCCAACTTTCCTCTCCCTTGCTGACTATTGTGCTTTGAGTTTTACTCACATAGCCTTTGGGGGATGTTAGGGAGGTTGCCAAAGGCCTGCAGATTACTTCCTGACAAAGTTCTAATTCCTAGTCCTTAAGCACCAGTCTGTGTTCTGATCTTTAATGCAAACCCTTGTTCCCTGCGGGCCAGACTGCTAAGAATTGAAAGGGGTGAATGGCATGAGCAGTTTGCTTGGTGCACTTCCTGTCTGAGGACAGCTGAAGAAGTGATCATCCTGGTGCTAAGTGAGGGCCAACTGTCCTGTCAGAGGCAAACTGAAACTTTAGCCGAACTGTGTTGAGGGTCCCACCTCCTATTGTGACCAAGTGTGAGACCAAACTGAGAAAATGGCATACGCTTGTCATTTAGGCCATGTGGAATACAATACAACTCTTTGCCCAGAGTGAATGTTTAACAGAAAGATGGAGCTTTTCCTTCGTGTGGAGTGTGGTTATGCTGAGGCGGGAGGTGGTGAGAGGTGTAGGGTTGGCTTCTTTGAGGCAAGTCTCCAGGCCTCACAAGGTCCCCTGTGGGGATGCTGCTATTTCTAAGATGCAAATTGCACACTTCCTAGATTTTGTATTTGTGGATTTGAATAAGGGAGGGGAAAAGGGACAAAATGCTTGTACAGTCTGAAATGGACTTCAGTGGTACTTCAAATCTTTTGACTGTTCCTAAATAAAAATGTACATACATTTCACATCTGTTGACTCATTTTCTAGGGGTCTCAGAAAAAAGTTAAAAAATGTTTCTTGGGATCTGTTCATTTATCCTGTGGGCAAACTGCCCATAAACTCTGATGGATAAGTGAGGGAGTCTCCATTTACTGTTTCCTGATTGCTGAGCTCACTGAAATAGCTTCTGTGTCAAGGTAGTACAATGATTTGGAAACTGTACTAGAGACAAAGGCAAATTGAGTCAGACCTGGAGCTCAGGCATCCAGTGAGGACACTGACAAGGTTTCTTTTTCTATCCCTGTGAGAAAAGCTGGCAGCAGATTTGTCATTTAAGGAGGAGTTAGCAATATGCATAGGGTCCCAGGGGCCTTCTAGAGGACCAGAGCTGATACCACAACTTCGAAGAGTTGGTCAAAGCAACTGGATTGTTAGGGTGCCCTGAAGGACTTGTGGCACAATAGAAAAGGGATGCCTAAAATAAAACTATCTGGGATAGAGACACATCCAGTTAATGATTCTGATAGCATCTACATACCAGGGCCTGTTCTTGTCTGGGCTTTTCCAGAGCCCAACTCGACCTGGGAAGCAGTTGTTGATGCTGAAGAGCTGGGTCCTTGGGAGTTAGACCAAACTGGTGTGAAACACTGGAGCCTTCAGCTGAGCCCCATGGTACACAGGCTCAAGACACTACCTCACTTTGGACATACTTAGATGGCACTGGCAGTACTGACCAACAGGGGGTGGGGGGTGGGGTGGTTAGTGTAACTTCCAGGTAGAAAACTGAATGCTAACATTGACTCCTGGGCATAAGATAACCCTGGGGATTATCAAGAGATGACCCAGGGAGAAGACAAATGTCAGGGTAAGACAGGGCCTTACTCATTTAAGATGTGTAGTTATGACATTGTTTTGTTCAGAGCTAGTTTGCTGGGATAACCTAATACTTTTGTTTTTCCCTTCAACAGAACCGATAAGGTGAGATGTTGGGCAAGTTGAAAGACGAGTGAGTTTCTAGCCCCAGGCCCAGCTGCCAGGTGAAGTTTAGGATGTGCCTGGTCAGGAGGTCTTTCCCTTTTTTGCTCAGGTCAGGTATTCGTTAGTTGCCTGAACTGAGGCCACAGACTGCTCCTATATTCTTCTCATGGGGCAGCTTTCAGTCCTGGGGTAGGAGGCATAATGCCCGACTTTGTAGGCAGTGCCTTCTGTATACAGTCCACTGGGTGACAGCTGGTGAAAGTTAAGTTCTGCCACTTTGACTCATCTACTTGTCCCTAGTCTTCCAGCCACCTAGGAGCAAGTATACTTCTCTTTGCCTAGGCTTCTGGTACCACTGACTTTAACCCTGCTCTTTTGGTTTCCTCCATCAAAGTCAGCAGTTCTCAACCCTGAGCACTCTTTCTCAGCACCAAGGAGCGTGTGAAAAAGACTCATGCAAGGGCCCCAGGTACTGGTATTTTTTTGAAGCTCCTCAAAGGTGCTCAAAGGTGCTACCAGGATGGACTTTGCAGCCATAACTCAGTAGATGGAAGGCAATGCTGCCCAAATTGTGTATAGGGAGAGGTGTGCAACCAAACACCATGTCAGCCCACCCCCTCCTGGGTCAATCAGTATTGGTCAGATCTGGAGGAATGTCAGATGACAATGACCTTTAAATTCGTTCAACTGAAGGAGTCACATTTTCCACCAGGCAGAAGGATCCTTTGCAATAAGAGATAAAGGCAATATGGCAGAGTCCAAGACAGGTGAGCCTTGGGCCCAGGAAGATAATTAGGGAAGGCACAGCTGTGCCTTGCTCAGGTTACATCTCAGAAGGACACTTATTCCATAAACAGAGGTGTGTACTAATAAAAAATTAAATGGTCAGCACTGGCAAGCCACAGACATTGTACAGCCATGCAGACAGTCCCTACCTGAAGTGCCAGCCCAGACTTCTCCTTTCCCTGATAAGGAATGCTGGGCCATTAGGATCTGAAGCAGGAAAAAGGGGGATCAAGAGACCAATAAATTCCCACCCACAACCTCCTGTGTGGAAAAGGACCACCCTCCTTTCTACAATGGGGTGGTGAAGGTCCAGGCAGAAAGTCTCAGGTCTGGAAACTGGTAACTGTCGCAGTCTGACATGGGCCAGCCCCACTAGTTCAGCACATGGCATCATGCACTATTTTATATTCAATGAATCACTTTTGTTCCACACCAGCAGAGACTGCGACAAAAACAGCCTTAGGAAGGGAGGGGGTCTTTCTAACTGTTCTCTGGGCATAAGAGTTTGGTTACAGAGGCAAACAAGAGTGGCACATCTTAATGTTCCTTTTTCAAAACAAGAGGTTTCTGTACAAGGATGGGGCCCTGGTTGCTTCCTGTTCACCACCAAGGCTGGCTGACCATAAGATCCGGGGCTTGCTCCTAGATCCCAGACAGGATGCACTCCATTTAGGCACACCCTTGGAGAACAAGATGGCAGTGAGGATGGCCTAATATCTCCTGTTATCCCAGAAGGAACTTCTGCTTTGACCTAAGAAGTGTCCAGAAACTTCACACTAGCTTCTGTTGTCCAGTAATCACCAGGATAAGCTTTCCTGAGCCCCCCAAAAGCACACAGGTTAAAGGAAAAAAGACATGAGGATGATTTATTTGGCAGTCAGATCTTAAGAGGGCAGCAGAACTAGCAAATGGCCAACCCCGAGCCCAAGTGTGGGCAGTGGGTTTGCATGTGCTGAATGCTGGCTATGCTATGAGGCACCTTTGCGCCCAATGGCCTGGACCACAGCCTTTATCTTTAGAAGAGGGGACTGCCTTCCCAAACTTTACATCTCCTTCCCTGCACCCTTCTACCAGCTAGACAGAAGCTGCACCGAACTAGCAGCTTCATTCAGCACCTGATTGCCTGGCTCCACCTACCTAAGAGGAAGGCAACTCCTTAATCCCCTTCTCATTCCTATGGGAGAACATACTGAGTCTTCATTGCATTAAAAACAAAAAAGCTCACTGGGACAGGCACTGCCATTTCTTCTCTTCCCACCTCTCCTCCATGGGATGGTGCCTTGACATCGCACACCAAGCCCTCTCGGCACAGCTGGCAGCCATGTTCAAGGCTCTGCTCAGAGGTTTCCCTATAAGGGTGAGGAGCAGGAGGAGTGAATAACTTAGTTAACATACCACTGAGAAGAAAAATAATACTGCTATTTTTATCATGATCCCCTGTATCTTTCAGGCTGGGTAGTGTTCCCAGCCATGGGCAATATGCCCTTGTGCTGTGTCCTCCTCGGGCAGGGCTGAGCGCTTCTCCACCCAGGCCCTACATCACTCTGCTCTGTCTCTGGGGTCAAACTGCCAATGCATCTACCCTCTCACCCTGCCCAGCTGTGTTTTTAAAGCTACAGGACAATGTAAACTTTGTTTCCCTGGCCCAGCAAGGCTCCCCTTCTTCCTCCACTCTCAGGAATGTGAACGGCTCCTTGAAGCCTCCTATGCTGCCAGCTGAGGCAGCCTCTCTCCAAAGGGCTTCAGCCCTGCTCCTGGCCCCACAAGATGGAAGAATCCATCTCCAGAAGTCAGGGCCAGATATGTGTGTGCTTAATGCGAGACACAGTACAGTTTTTGCCTTCACCCGGAGTTGGGCCTGGAGGCCCACAACAGTACATCTCATTAATGGCTTGGTTTTGTCTAGCATTCACCATTGGAATCCAGACTCCAGGCTGCGAGACCAGGAAGGCTGCCACAGTAGGCACCTTCTGAAGAATCCAGTTCACGGCATTCCACGAGGCGTGCAGCACCTGCTGTTCTCCATCGAGGCTGGGGCCCAACTAGAGGCGGTTGTCTCCATTGACCCGAGTCCTTCTTGGGGTCCTGAGTGGAAGGAAAGAGCGTCCTTATTGGCAGCAAGGCTTTGTAGTCAAATGGAACAGTCCAAAGCCACACAATTATGGCTTTTCCTAACCAAGAGAAAGAGAAACTGGAGAAGCAGGACCTAACCTCACAAAGCTAGTCTTCTTTGCTACAGCACCCCTCTTCCAAGCTGTACACTGGCCACCCTCCCTTCCACCTTCCTCACCTTCGTTCTCGAATGTCAAAATGATCTGCAAGATGCTCCTGGGAAATGCGGAAGTCCTCAAATGGCTGCTGGTATCGGGCTTCAAAGGAGCCTTCCCGAGCCCGGCTATGAAACAGCTGGCTAGAGGCATCTGAGCCCCGCTCCCGGAGGGATGTACCACCAAAGGGACTGAGGTCTCCATTCTCCTGCTCAAAAAGGGCAAGAGTACAGGGGTTAAGGATCTTCTGCACCTTGGGAGGGTGTTGCCCTGCTCTTCACCCACCCACCCCTGCCACAGTTACCTTGGCAGGAAAGGTATCAATCTTGATAAGCAGCGAGGCCAGCTCCAGGTCTTCGCTGTAGTTGTTCTTCAAAGGCACTGCTCTGTATCCTAGGAGGAGGCAAGCCTGGCCTTCAACTCAGGAAGGCACCAGCAAGGGGCCCAACCTACTTGGCAGCAAGCTCAGAGGGCACTGTGTCTGGGAAGTCCTCACCTGTCTTCAGGCCTTTTACTGGGAAAGTGGCCTGAGCCAAGAAGTTCTGGTCACTAAACATGTCTTCCTCATACACCACAAAGCGGAGGAAGGCAAATTCAGGGTTACTGATTTGGAAGTGGAAGGGCTTGGCTGGCCACACAGGGTTTAGTCCATTGTCCACTGTGAAAGCAAAGGCAAAAGAGTGCAGGCCACCTCTAAGAGGATGGCGTGACTGTGAAGAGAGGACTTCAGCACTACCAGAAGGATACGAATGGTGCAAGGCAAAGCTCACTTACCCACAAACTCTGTCTTCTGCTTAGTGTTGTCATACTCTGCTCCAGCGACCTCAATTTCCACAAAAGGACACACAATGCCACGGCCATTCTTCGGCAGATGCCGGGCCCCCAGCACCTATAAGGGAGGCAAAGATGAAGCTGGGGTTGTCTTGCTCTTCCTGACATTCCCATTGCTGAGGTTCAGGCAGCAAATGTAATGTGGAGGCAGTGCGCCCTCTACT